ATATATATATCCTCCTCAGAGTATTGCCATATTTTAATATGTCCATGGCTCATGAAATATTCGAGACTACAGTTTTCGGATAGGTAGCATCAATTTGAAATACAATACCTACTGATACTCCAATACTGAAAGCAACATGACGCTTGCTAAATTTTTGAACTGATGCGGATACTCGTAAACACAAAGCATTTTCCCACACCATTGTCGTCTTTCTTTATACAGAACCTTAACTCAAACATCATTTCTTTTGATACATACCTATGCCTTGTCGGAGCAAGCGTAGCCATTTATAGGTGTACAACGAGCTCTGATAAGGACAGTACTACCATGTGCCGTGGCCGTGGCTTCGTGTTCTGTCGTATTAGCGTGTCCTCCATCCGAGGGCTTTGCAACGCCAGTGTGGGATGAAAGCCGGATGTGTGATTAGAACAAACTTACCTGCAGAAATGTCCGGCGAGGATCGCAAAGGGGATAATATTTCCGTTCTGAATAATATAAAAGCTCTTGTTATAAGTGTTAATATTACAATTAAATATCCCGCAAAGCTAACCGGTGCAGCGCTTCACTTGTAATGAAGAGATAGCCAGTTCGACTCTGGCTGTGGGCTTTTTTTGAAACACGTTTTAGTGAACGTATGCAATATTCTACTACACTAAATGGAAATATGAGGTCGATTGTTATAATCTATTGCATTCGAGCAGCTATTGGTAGTTATACCATTCCGTTCGAGCAGCTATTGGTAGTTATACCAAAGTGGACGCTCTATCATGTAAACACGAGACCTGTGTTATGGGCAGCCGTGATGCAAACGAAAATAGCTGAGATCACATAGTAACCTTCCAAATTAACATAGGATTCTGGTGTTGTGGAGACCAGCAAATGCGGGAAAAGCTAGCAGATAATAATGCAATGATTCAACCGACTTTTATATAAGACGCAGTCAGTGCGGGGTTGTAACCATCATGATCACACCCAGAGGTGGAAGCTGACAGATGTAATACTTGCTGCCTTGAAACTGACAGATGTGAAACTTACTGCCTTGAACTTTAGATTACGAATGGGATTCAAGATCCGCGGAGAAAATGCTATACTATGAAGGGAAGTGGTACAGAGCGCGGTCTACTAGGCCCTCTCACTAATTAAATACAAGTTTTATTTGCTATCTGCCTGCTAATTCGACACGACTATGTTGTCGACTGTCGAATAATATACCGGGAAATGATACAGAGCGCAGTATACTAGGCCCTATCATTAATTAAAAGTTTTATCTGCTATATATGCCTATTAAGTTGACACGACCATGTTGTCAAGTTTCTAATACATGAGGCGCACGGCTGTACATGAATAGACAGCAATCCCTAGAATATATACACAATATAAAAAAAAACCACACGGTGCGCGATTCGAACGCACGCGCCCAGAGGGCATTAGATTAGCAATCTAACGGAGTAACCACTTTCCTAACCGTGAATAGTTGATTACAGTGTTAGAATCTAACTATATATTTTTGTATTTAAATAGTGTTATATGTTCAATTCAGAGAGCTACGGTCATACGAATTAATATTTTAGGCTCAAACCACGGCCCTCTGGATTTGGGTCTCTGCTAATTTTTTTCCGCTACGACAACCGATTTCCGCTAAATAAATACATATTTATTAGTGAGTAAATAGTTGAACTTGGCAATGGCTTGGGAATAAAATACCAATTTTAAAAAAAGGGTGCAGTCACAGCCTACAGACCTTCTGTCAGATACTTGCACTCAATTAACATGGAATACACACATCTTCTGAATATGGAGCGATCACGCAGACCGGTGGTCAACAAAGAGGCGGCTGAGCGGGCTCTGGCGTATCTCAAGTTGCTAGACTGCGACACACTGCTCTCCATCTTGCCGACGGTGAACAAACTGGTGATCGATACGACAACTCTAGCTCTGACACGGTATGTGCAATTGTTCAAGGCTATCGAATGAAGTGTATCTGTACATACGTATCGCCAAGTACCTGCGAGAAGTTTTATTAGGTAGTGTTCGCGCATGGTTGTTCAGTGATTATTAGTATACATAAGAAATTGAGGCTCAAAATCCTCGACTGCATACTACGTCTGCCACATATGCGGCGTATAATGTCGCGTATAATGGTATACATTTGCGCTTCCGAACTTCTGCATGTAACTCACCTAGCAACACAGAGTACTAGCATACTGGCAGTGCCCATACACCGCATCTCTTATCTTATACTATACTCCTTCGTCCGCATTGGCCCTTCTAGTTTATATGACCAGTCAGTCCTACACGCACAATCGTATACTTCTTCAGCAATCATCGGTTCTCATCGATGGATTATGAAGTCCATTCTATCAAAGATAGTGTTGGAGCTGCGCCAGTGACCATATGACGAATAATAAATGAGCAATCCATCCCTCTGGCTCCATCTGGCTCTTTCTGGCTCCATCTTGACCTCACTAAATAGATATTGACGCTCAAAACACACGAGTTGGCATATATTCACCGGATTGATTTTTCACATAACATCATCTAAATCAGAAAAGAAGGCACACGTTTAATGATTAGCTTCATGTGTAACAAAACATTTCTTTACTAGTTCCGGTGAAAGGCAGCCTATCAAGTTCGGATATTATGCGTTGCCCGCTGAAGTGGCTCTGCGGATTTTCAGTTACCTGGACACGGAGAGCATATTAGACTGTCGACTAGTGTGTAGGTCGTTCTACACCATATCACGGGACCCTCAGGTATGAAGACATAAGTTGAAGACTCAAAGTTACGGAAGTGTATTCATAGTATATATATATATATATATATATATGTATATACATACATATATACAAACATACATACATACGTACATAGATACATACATATATAGATACATAGATACATACATAGATACATAGATACATAGATACATAGATACATAGATACATAGATACATAGATACATAGATACATACACACACACACACACACACACATATATATATATATATATATATACATGCACGTTACCAGACCTACAACACCCACCCACCCACCCAACAGCAGCCGCCCCACACTCACCCACCCGTTTCACAAAGCCTATGAAGTGTTCTGCCTTGCGAATGTTGCCAGGTATAGCCTCTTCCAGCATGGCGTCTGGTAGCACTGGATTGGCCATGACCACATCCTGCACTCTCTCCTGGTTACGATCTCGCAGACCTTGCACTAAGTTGTCGTACTCAGCACGTAATCGCTGTGATACGACAAA